GCAGCTTCGATAAGCTGAACAAGACTATGAGATTCTGGCATCATTTCGTTGAATTTCTCATATATCCAATAAAGAAATAATAAACATGAATTTACTAGATTGACCGAGGAGTTTGTTCCCGACTCTTTTTGTAAATATTGCAATAAAGAACCACCCTGGATGTAAAATATGCACCATCCTTGTCTATAGCTCGACTCCAACGCTCAGGCAACTCATCAAACTCCTGGTCTCAGAAGAGTGGGAACTGATACCTGAACAACTACCCCAGGCTTAATACTCTACCTCAAAATTTTCCTTGCAGAAAGCTCTAGGAGGGTTCGAGGAAGTAAAATTTAGTAGAGCGGGGTCGTGGGACAGCCGGGTGTAGTTCTCCAGCTCAGTCTAGTGAGGGTCGAGTGGAAATTCATGCTTGTTAACCACGACCCACGACTGTTAAAGGCACGCTCCGCGATTAGGCGGGCTCGCCTGTTCCATCCAGGGGTAGTAGGCAGGTGGACAAGTGTTGATGTCGCGCCCCTTTTGCCGCTTGAAAGTGCGCGACAAAGGCGCAAGGAGCTCGTCCGACCCGCAACTCACACCTTCGTCCGCAAGCCCCACCCTCCGCTGTCGGTTGCCACGTGGCGCTGCTTGAAAAGCGCGGGCGCATTTGAGGCAGCGGTCCCATTGCGATCCAATGTCATTGGCACTGGAGCAACTAGAGTTAGGTTCGTGAAACTCGTCCAACGCGCCTCTTCTCTATCCCAAGGTGGAATGTGGCTGAAATAGGGGAGGTCTCTGTACGGGGCGTAATCGGTGGTTTCGTTTGCTTTCCTTCTCTTTTACAGACCACCTCCCACCTATAGCTTCATAACTGAACGCTTTTCCACACCTATTTTATCCCGAATCTTGCCTTTAATTGGGCTGCCTAGTAATCCCTTCAGGTCAGCAAAGCGCAGACTCGCCCATTCGATTACACTACACGCGCCTGGGCCATCTGATGGTGAGATCTTTCTGAAAAAAAAGCTAGAGCCGGACAACAGTTCCAGGAGCCATTCTACGACTGCTTGGAGTTTCACTTCCAATCCTTCTGGAGGTATTGAACCAGCAGGCACCCTGAGCGTTTTCGTTGAGTGCTAGACGGTATGGTGCACACCTCTGCTCGCCCGGTCAGTTCATCGTCAAAAAAATACGAAAGAGTCAAAACTTTCCAGCCAAAGTAATAATACCATGCCGTTGAGAACAACTGAAGCCCAAGAGGCAATAATAAATTGAACAACGATCTTCCAAGAAACAAACCGCATGGCTAGCGCGAAGAATTCCGTCGAACTCGCGATGCCGCTCATTTTTCTCAAACCTGAAAGAATTATTTCATAGATGAATGTTCTAATTTCAAATCAAGTCGCACCTCTCGATGAATCGCTCGATCTCCGTTCGAACAACCGGAATGTGATCGAAAAGATGCTGTCCAACCAGCTGTGTGTCACGCATCACTGTTGGAAGTGACATCCTGATACGGTCAACTCTACAAACAAGTAATTCCGAGGAAAACTGATTTCATAGCTGCGCCTAAAGCTATACGACGTCTATTTATGTTCAGCAGACCAAAAATAACCGGGAATTTGGAATGCGTGAGTGCACTGACCCCACAACAAAGTCGGCCACAGCAGGCTAACGTTTTTTGAACAAAAAGCTAATTAGAGACGACGCAGATCCACTCCTCAGTCCTAATAATTGCTATGAAATTCAGGAACATTGCCTACAGACCGATTCTCTGTTAATCACCATATACAAACCGGTGATTTCCCCTAGAGATAGAAGGATACACATCGACACAGGGCGCTTGATCCACGAAAGATGCGCCACGTATTCGTCACCCATATGGAATCGCAACGCCAGCCAGTTGCGTACTTGGCCAGTACAACGATTCGCGAGGAACCAAAGGACATGCAAAACAGCGGGCTTATCCTCTCAGACAGATCTGGTGCCAAGCAGACTAATTCGATAGGAGAAATGCCTCTATGGTCTGAACGGGATTCGATCCACGAGCCATGAGTTTAGTAGCGGTGTCACTTGCCACTGCACTACTTCTACCCTTCATTGGAAGAAGAAAATAAAATGCTACTTAATGGGCATAAACGTGCCAGGTTAGAAGAATTCCTCAGAGAAGGTGTCATTAAAGTATTGGCGGCGTAAAAGCGTAAAGTAGTATGGCGTAAAGGGTTGTAGCGGTTAATTTCAGAGGAGTTAGGCCCAGAAATTTCTCACCATGTGCGTCATAGGTGTATCATCGGCCGTGCAGGGTGCGAGCTGTGCAAGTGCTGCACGAAGAGAACGCACAGTTCCCAGGAACTACTGCGAACCAAGGAAAAGTAAATTGGCGGGCAGAAGAGCGTGACACGCTAGTAACAACGATAGACCACAACTGACGTGGTTTCGTTTTCCACCCTGTGAAAAAATTCGCACGGCGCGCTGCCTCACTAATCGATACACCTGGAAGGCATGCCTCCTCAGAGGTCGCATAACAAGAGCGGATGCATTGTAACAACTCTTTCCTCTTTCTTTCTCGTTCGCTATAAATCTGTTATAATCACTGCTGGTTATAAACACCCAAAATACTGGAGTTAAGCGCAATGGCTCAATCGGCAAGGATCCACATGAACTTGAGCTGGGTCAGCGCAGTCAAATGAAGCAAAATCAAAGTAAATGCCCACCCACGATCAACTTGGTAAGGTTGTTGCGCCCAAAATAAGAGAAGAACACAAATTGAGGCACCAGCTAAAGGCTGGTTAATTAAAGACAGCTTACTTCACTAAAATAGACTTGCTTACGAGGCTTACTGTGACGAAGAAACAGCTGGTACCATGAAGACAGCAAAAGAGGGAGCATAGGGACTAGCGAGACGCAGACATCCCATCGTGTGGACCGCCGCATTACGAGCAATAAACCCAGCTGTTTCATAACTGACAATTCCTACATGCTTATCGCTCACTTTGGAGCTGCGAGAACGGTTTACAGTCCACCTTTGTGTACATACCGTACTCGGAACGTATTGGTACATTTTGATGTGCTGTGCAATGCCTCCTCAGGAATGCAACATTGCCAGAACTTCTGGAGCGCGGAAACTCGGGTCTAAAAGAGCGTTTATAGGATGAGACTGACGTCTTCCATGCAATCGATGGGAAACAAACCCAATCAACTACGAAATCAGGGTTTATTTTGACGTAGTTCACAAAAAATACGGACTGAAGATATAAAAATGTCCTCACAAAGACCTATTTGGCTATCAGTTCTTTTCAGGAACATCAACATACCACCTAACGCTTCACCTCAAATGCTCAAATACTTACATGAAGAAAAAGGCAAACGTTACCAACGATTTCCAAGAAC